ATTGTCATACAGCCAGTTGTTGAATGAGGTTGACAAAAACTTGAGGTACGCCGTAGTGTTGAAGTAGTTTCCAAATTACTTCTCGATCAACGCTATCTAAGGCCTGTGTGAAGTCGATGAAGCTAAGAGCATAGGGTTTAACTGCCATTCTATGTTTTGTTCTGTGGTGACGATGCATAGAGTTGCGCTTTGATCAGAACATGCTTTGCCATTGCTGAATCCAGTTTGTTCCGAGTTCTGTATTCAGTGCATCCTTTACTCTCTCCAGAATGATGTGACTTAGTATTTTACTTGGTGTGGACAAGAGCATTATTCCACACCACTTCTTCCACAGGCCTAAGTCTCTTTTCGTTGGCAGTTTGACGTAGTCAGCCTCTCTTCCAATCAGTAGGCACCTATCCTTCTCTCCAATTTTTTGCAGTAATGGAGTGAGAACATTTGCTGTGATCTCTGGGGTCGTATTCAGTGCTTCGGGAGGAGTACCGTCTGGTCCTGCTGCCTTCCTGGACTTCAGTAGCTTCATCGCATTCAGGATTTCTTCTTTCGACGGAGGAATGGTGTCCACTGGCATTTCTGTGCGTGCTGTTGGTAGTATTTCTGAGCAAGTTGCAGGTGCTGACTATTCAAGAGTCCTTTAAAGTGATCAGCCCATTGTTTGATTTGTTTCTCCTCCTTGGTGATCAGTTTCCGTTGAACATCTTTTATTGGTTTCATCACCTGTGTTGAAGTATTTCCGGATGGAGACCTGGTTATTTGATATAATCTCATGAGGTCTCTTTTAACTGAGGCCTACTTGTTCTGCTTCTGGTGCCAATTAGTGTGTCATAGAATTGTCTTTTGTCTTTCCTAGCACTCTTCTTTACTGCTTTATTCATTGTAGTGTACACTGAACTCAGCTCCTCCTTCTGTTGTGCATCTTTGCACTGAATCATCTTCTCTTTCAACATCCTCCTCGATTATCTTGCAGGTGTCTGTTGAGAGCCATTCTTTGTCGTGTCTCTTCTTTCTTCCTAAAACATTTGTACATGTTTCGTTGGAAATCACCTTCAGAGAGTTCCAGTATTCTTCCACACAGGTTTCCTCAGTAATGCCACGTAGTGTCTCCGATTGTGCTCTGATCAGATATGTAGTGAAGATATCCCTTGTAGTTTTGTCCTTCAGAATGTTGAATTTGAATTACAGTGGACTGTCTCCAGTTGTTCTGAAGGATTTCAGTTTCACTTTGAAGGTTCCTTGAACTAAATGATGGTCTCAACCCACATCTGTTTCCCTTTCTCGACTTTGTATCCAGCAGGCTGTGTCCCCTCTTCCTTCAGATTGATATGAAATCTATTTGGTTTGTGGTATGTCCGTCAGGCGAAATCCATGTTGCTTTGTGTATATCCTTGTATTTGTACACGCTCCCTCCGATCACCAAATCGTTGAAATAGCAGAAGTCTGAAAATAATCCTCCATTCTCTTTAATTTCTCCAAGTAAGAGCCTCTCGACCCATGATGGGTTCTCTTCCTATATTACCAGGTCGCAGTTTGGCATTCATATCTCCCATAAGAATTTTGATGTCACCATTTGCCCATTACTGTTTGTAAATGTATGTAAACATCCTCCTCCTTTTCTTGTTCCACGCTGTTAGTATTTGCGTAGCATTGCATGGTAATTGTTACTTTCCTTCCTTTGGAGTTAAATCTTACCGTCATGATCCAGGATGATATTGGTTCCCACTGTATTAGGCCTTCCGCTGCAACTTGTGACATCACGATGGCCACTTACTGCCTCAGTGTGTTCATGGTTGTCGTCTGGGTGACCGGTGTAGATTGTTGACAATACTGTCAGTCCACATACATTCTGCCTGCTTCCGCAGATCCCCAGTAGTTCTAAGCCATATCTTCGCATGGTACAATGGTTTACTTTTTTACATTAAACCTTGAAATGATGGAAGATGGTTTCTTTGAAAAGGTATCTGGTATAATCGTTTAACCAGTAGGTTCGCATTTGTTGATACATGTTAGTTGTAGTTAGAAGCATTTTTAGAAATATCTAAAGAAATGAATAATGGATTGAATAAATTTATTCTTCTACTTTAACCAATGGTACTATAAATTGTGTATTGAATCACCTTATTTATATCTCTTTGTTTGAGAGTGTTTACTCTACTCGGTAACAATATGAGGTGTGGCAAAATAAAAGGATGCACTGGCTTCTTTTTGGTGCTACGCATTTTGTAGTTCAGTAGATCGTCAGACGCTGTGTTATCAAGCACAATCGGTCTACACATTTTATTCATTACTACAAAGTGTACCTCTTTTTTTATTCTTTTTGGTTTCCAGTAGAACATAAGGCTTCAAGCTCTAAAGGCTTGAAGTTTTGGTAGCAGCGGTATTTATTTTTACGTGGTGGGGTTGCTAACCTCATGCCTAACCTTCCCTCTTTATCAATCTTATTACTCCCTTAGCGAGGTAAAATAGTGTGTTGGCAGGGGGTCGGACCCTGGAATACATGTGTGTGTAGTCGGCAAGCACTCTACCGTGGTGCCACCGACACACAAAGTGTATCTCGAAGTATCTATTTTTTGCTGATATAAACTTTATGACCATATGATCAAGTGTATCTTGTAATTGAAGTTGCAGATAACTTGTTAAATCTAAGCTACTACTTCCTATTTCTTGTTCAGGTTTTTGTTAGTTTAGCGCATAGTTTCTATTCAGATGTAATATTTTTAACTATGTAATATAAAATTTCCTATGTCTACTGAAAATGGAAGTAAACAATGCTGGAATTTATTCGTTTGTTTGTTTGAGGCTGATTCATAGATAGACGCCCAATATTCATTCTTAATTGAAACGCATATACACTTGATATTATATTATATTTTGTTGATGCAAAGTAAAGTTATTGTTCATCCTACAATTCAATACTGTTGACAATTTACACAAGGCAGATATTCAGTTAGTTACTGAAATCTGTGAATTCTCCCTTTGTGTCACTCATTTTTTGGTGACTGCCAGTAAAATCAAGGACTTGCGTTTCATCCTGCTTGTAACAAGTCAGCTTGATGTATCTGCTCTTCTGTGAGTGATAAACTTCCTTCTGAGACTCGCACCCAGCACTTATCGCTTCTCAATGGTCGGTATGTTATACCATATCCCACGATGACTCGGCTCAGTCCGATTCCGATATATCGGTGGATGATTAAAAACGGTTGCAAGAATCATTTTATAATTTCAAAGTTTGCCTGAATATGATTTTGTTTCCACTAGAGTAAATCATCAATGAATAATCTATTGATTTTATTTGCTGCATATTAAAGGTAAATTATTTTAACAGTGTTTGACTTAACATCACTGCAAAATATGTTGATTTTCTCTAGGAATTCATCTATTACCATAAGAGAGATATCGTAACCTTATGGTTTTATCATTTTGTTGTGTCTGGACTACTACTGTCTACAAAGTTAGTGTCACGTGATTGCAAGTAGTTAATAAGGAATGAATTGACTTTCTGTGTTTATGTAAACAACATAAGAATGCGTCTGTTGAAAAGCATTTGAAAATCTGATAGTGTATCGCTTTCAAGCATAGCTGTTCTTCCGGTATTAGTATTATGTATCCTATACGTAGTCTGTGCTAGAATCTGTCAAAGTTGTTCTAAAATGCCGTGTTACACTTTTATATATTATCGAAGAAAACTAAGAAAAGTGTCATATGATGGAAGATTTTTAGGAGATACTCTATTTCCAAGGCAGTCTTCATCAGCATAATTAGAATTTCATTGAGAAATAACATCTTAAAAGTATTATGCCCTATTATTTGTAATAAGGTTTCTTCGTTCTGGATCGGCACTTATTATCAGTATGCACTCACTATGTTATGTATTTTTGTTTCCAGTTGTTTTTCCAACTCCTGTTAGTCTATAACTCACAAAAGAGGAGCTATGTATGCTTTAAAGCTGAAGTTATTACATGTTAAATTGTTTGAAAATTTACCCAAAACTATTTGATTACCATACACTCACATCAACTGAGAACAAACCTAGGTTGTTATTCGTTTCGATTTGTAACGAAAACTAAGATTAACCTACTAGGAGTGTGAGTGTATGAGCTAATGGTATAACCAGCTCTTGAGAAAATGAAATATTCATATTACATTACCATATCCAAATTGCAATGCCTTAAAATTATTTATTTTTCCTAAACTTTATTGTCATCATAAGTGAATCCTTTTAATTCTTTCCCTATACTTCAAAACACCTGTTGACCCGAATTATGCATTTTTAACTCCATCTACAAATAGTACCTTTTCTATTCAAAAAATTCCCTGCTGTTCTAAGTGAATTCTATGTGTTGAAATGTATTATAACGTGTAAATAGTGATGTTTAATTTTAAACTTATTTAACTTCTACTAGGTATAAACGATTCAATATATATCTTTTTAAACAGCTATGTACACAGTTAAGAATTCAAGCTGAGCAGCACATTTATCCTTTGTAAGCATTGGATGTTGAATTGTGGCTGATTGCTTTGAGTGTTCAATTTCCACCTAGTAAGTCATTGGTTCAAACCGCTTACCACCCACCTATAGAAGTTTGGGCAGCCTGGTATTATCACTAGAGGTTATTAAGTGTGACTCATACCAACCACATGTCTGTCTGTCTATCTATTTTCAACATAGAACTTTGCACAAATGTGCGGAAGTTCAAGTCGCCACACTCCGTGTAGCACGCGAAGCAAGAGAAGAAAGTACAAGAAAAGCATAATAGAAACAGTGAGCAGAGGTGTGAGACAAAGGAGTAATAAAGAAATACAAAACAGTTTCATTGAAGATCATAAGTCACAGGGAGTGGATGCACTCCTTGTGACCAACCACATGAGAATGCAATTGATTGTTGTGTCTCATTTCATTTTGTCATATATTCCCATTCAGGCGTAATGTGTAGCACAAGTGAATTCATTGTGTAGAAACAATTCATTATTTATATGTTGTTGTTCTTTATTCTTTTTAACAGCTTATTCCAACACAGTGATCTATGTGAAAGTTTGTCGTCCACTCAAGAATTGTTATCGAATTATGATCTTATCAAACAACAACCGGTTTCTAATCTGAATAAATATGAGCAACTGGATGTATACAACCCGAAATCTGAGTCAGTATTCACTTTGCACCTGCTGACTAATCAAGATTCAAATGTCAGAACTAGTGACGTGAGAAATTATACTAAATCAAATTTTCACCAGGATACATCCAATTTTAATTCAAAGTCGAATTCATATACAACATCCTTGTTGCAGGATCCCTTGTCAACGTTTTCTAATCAAGGTTATCACCCTATACTATTTATTTTTCTTAATAATGTATCCGAGTATGAAAATACTCTTACTCTAGCCTTTTTTCTAAGCACTTGTCCTATGATATCTGATTATTTGCATTTGAAATAGTCCGATAAAGATAAATAAATATCTTTGTTCACACTTTACACTTTTAGTCGATAAGGTCAAAATGAAAATTTTTCAGGGAAACTACTCTTCACCTCATGTAGTCTACAGACAGTGCTTTGATACGGATTTCCGTATTTCTTATCTTATGTGTCCTCCAGCAAGCCAGGCAGACAGTATTATCACCTTACTACAGGAAATTTGGTTAAAAGCTTCAATATCAACCTTGGTTTTAAAGTCTATACAGCACTGTTATCGCTCGCCTGAATGTTATAAAATATCTGTGCTATTTTTAGCAGTCGAATCCATACCTCAATAAGTATATTACTTCTGTCATTCAATCTCTTATCACAGATTAAGTTATATAATTTTTTAAGCGTCAAATCGTTGGAAAGACTATTTTCACTGTTAGTCAACTTACTACATTTCTGTCATTACGGAATATAAATCTGAGTGACTGACCTCAGTAAATAGTCGCATATGGTTTTCATCTTCAATATGCAAATATAGTTCTATAAAAAGAAGCAAAACAGCACTTCAGCTTATAAGTATGCACATATATTTTCCATCAATTCAACATCTGTCTTACACTCTTAGAACTAAGTGTTAATAATCGCTAACATTGATATGCGAATAAGCTGAATTTAATAGTTCCTAAACAGAGAAATAAATCATATTTAATTTTTTCGGTTAGTGACTAACATCCGAACTTCTTTCTACTTGGATATGCATGCGTCCAAGTCGTTGATGGTGTTCCCACAGAAACTTGAATGAACACAGTACATGTCATCTCAAACTCCAAAGGGTTATCTACTAGACTGTCGACTCACCTTTCTGTAACATCGCTACGCAATAAGACCTTTGGAATTTCTTGTTCGTAACCAAAGTGATTGATGTGTGTTGCCTTTCAGTTAATAAAATCACTTTTCTCAAGAAAATCGTTCATTTTTGTCTTCGAGTAGGTTTGAACTAAATCACATTTTATGAAAACATACTTTTTAAATTTTGTTGAGAAGAATTCGCTTCTCTGGAAATGTTAACCGCTAGAGTTTGACATTGTGTATACGTAACATGACATTGCGTTTAGATAGATATTCAGTGTCATAATACTATCGTATCGTATCCTTTTGTCTTCATGATAGCACACTTCAATGGTGAAGAAGTTTTCATGGTGTAGTCATGATTGTATTTCGTGCAAGTGATATATCCCAATTATTATTATTATTGCTCCCTTGGGTTCCTAGTGGAACATAGGGCGTCAACTGCACGTCTCCACTTGCTTCTGTCTTCTGCCGTACTTTTCACCTGAATCCATGTTAGTCCATACTCTCTCAACTCCTCTTCACACGATCTCCTCCATGTCACACTTGCACTGACGTCCCACTCGCCGCTTACCTTTCGGCCTGGTTCCATTCGAGCAATGGCCTGACGCGCACGCGATGTCATCCAGCGGCCTCCACAGTAAGTGTCCAATCCATCTCTACTTTCTCCTGCATATTTGTTGGTTGGCGATTGGTTGGAGACTGTTTTGTTTGTTCCCATAGTTTCTTGTTGGTGATTCTTTCCGATCCGGCCATCTGATCTTCAGCATAGAGCGAAGACAGTTGTTAGTTGATAAAGATCTGCAACAGGCTTTTAGAAATATTCGTTGTGACCCGCCCGCCAAGTTTCTGATCCGTATAGAAGAACTGGCTGACTTGACGTTTGTATTGAAAATCCTACCGAATTTTGTTGTTGATGTTGGCTGAGTGACGAAGATTTCCAGATTGTTTTCAGGTTGATGAATGTGTTTCTCTCCTTCCTGATTCTCGATTTGACATCCTCGTCCGTTCCGACTGCCTGTAGTTGAGACAATGCTCCCTCCCTAGTTAAGTGAATGAAGTAACCTCTTTCAAATCCTTCCCGCTGATGGTGATTGACGCTTGATGTTGATGTTGTTGTTGTTGTTGGTTGGTTATTTTCCATCAACTCCGTCTTGTCTATGTTGACTTGGAGTCCTGTCTTCACTGGCTACTTCTCCGACCAGTTTGTCGGTTTTCGCTTGTAAGTCTTCGATTTTGTGTGACATCAAACATAAATCATCCACGCACGAAATTCAGGTCTTCTAGGTTCTTCATGTCGGTCCCGGATATCCCTGTCTTCTCGTTTCCCACGGTCTGACGCATAATCCATTCAGTCCACCACAATTAGGAATATCATTGGTGATAATAAGCAAGCACCCTTGTCTGACTCCTGTGTTTAATCCAAACGCCTCGCGGAGTTTTCCGTTGTGGATGACTAGACATGTGCCGTTGTCGTACAGCTGTTGAATAAGGTTGATGAATATTTGGGGTACGCCGTAGTACTCGAGTAGTTTTCAAATTACTTCGCGGTCAACGCTACGCTGTCCAAGGCCTTCTCGAAGTCTATAAAGTTGAGGTAGAGGTTTGATTGCCATTCCATGCTTTGTTCTGTGATGATGATGCATAGAGTTGCAATTTGGTCAGAACATGATTTGCCTGACTTTCCTGAATTCAGCTAGCTTGTTCTGGTCGGAGTTCTGTATCCAGTGGGTCCTTTATTCTCCAGGATGATGCGACTCAGAATTTTACTTGGCGTCCACAGGAGCATGACTCCTCGCCAGTTCTTGCAGGGTGTGTCCTTAGTCGCCCTTCTTTGGTAGTTTCACGAGGTCACCTTTCTTCCAGTCAGTAGGCACTTTTCCCTCCTTCCAGACCAGATATATCCCACAGCTTATGTAATACTCAAAACTAAACTGTAAACAATTACTTTTCTTTTATACAAAGTTTAATTAGTAATTTCAATATATTTCATGTGTTAGATTAATGAAGGAATATACCCCTTTATTACAGACGAAATCTACACAATCAAAAAAGATCAAATGGAAAATATGTACGACTGTGTATCTTATCCAGGATATTCTGGATCATCGTCGAGTGAATCAAGCCTATTTGACGCATTAACCTCTCCACCGTCACCACTGAATGAAAGTAACAACCAATCGTCTTCGATTGACTTACTTTCTCATCATCATAATAACTGCTACCACAACAATCAAAAGCAACAGCTTTATACACAAGAAGAAATCCCCCTGGCTATGAAAATAATTGGAATGAGTAATGTGAGTAGTAGTGATCAAGAGATTATCGATTCAAGTGTAATCCCATTGAAAAATGAATTAGATGATTATTCACTGGATCCTCCATTGAATCATTCAGCAGCGGCATCTTCATCTGCTGTTATTTCTACTGCTCCTGTATCACTGCATAAACCATCTGTATATCTGAATGATATTTATTCCAATAAATCCAATTCAACTAGTTCAAGAAGAGCTATTTCTCCGGCGACGAATACTACTGTTAATGACAATATGAATTGCATGACTAGTCATCCAATGGGATTATCATCAGTTAAGAACCAGGTAAGCTTGTATGAAGTTGGTATTCAGTTTAAAGAAATTCGTCAAGTTAGTACATCATTTTTGCTGTGTTTGGTTTTATTCTCCACTATTCAGTTATATCTGTTAGACGTTTATGCTGTTAAAATCCAGTGTGATTTAGATTACATTCATGATCATGTCGTTGGAAATGATTCTGGCACTCTAAAATATTTTATATTCCATATGTTAGAAAATACCAGGTTCTCGTTGAACAGCTGATATCATGTAGAGCTATGTGCATGTGTGAGAAGTGTTCTATGAAAGACATCACTGCATATTACTTCTAGATGTTGGAATTCAATAGATGCAAACCCGCGGCCTTGATTGCACACTTGTTGGCACAAATCATTACACGTGTCTTCTCAACCCTAAGAACCTCAAATTATCTGTTACCACCTTGGAACCCGCATTATTCAAAGAGTTTACTATTGGGAAACTAGTGTAAGGATAAGCCGCTTGCCATATAACAGTCGACTTACCTATCTAAGTCTAGTTGCTGATCGCGATCTAATTTGCAAGCCTATGATTAATCTCAGTTGCACAATAAAATAATGTATAGGGAATCGAATTGCTCCGCCAACAAATGCTAAATGTTAGTGGAACTCTTTCTACCGATTGACTGTGGACATTTTATATCAGAACAGTTTGCACTACCATGCACACCAGTATCACATTTCTTACGTTTGTCCAATCCATTTATTATATTATTATTTATTTATTTAAACGCATAAAAACTTGGTACAGTATGGCACCAAGAAGGACGTGCCACACAATAATAATAAAACAACATAGATCAAAGGAAAAAAAAGTAAAAGAAAGAAGATATAAGTAGAGATCGGATAAAGAACTTCATCTGGAAGGAAGACAGTCATGCTTAACAGGTTCAAACAGTATTCGTTAACTATCATCGGGAAGGGAAGAAAGAAGGGAATCGCAACACATTCGCCATTGATTACGATTCTTGGCCATATCCGATAACGTTTCGAGCCATCGATTTGAGCTTTCTCTCGGACCCCAACCAGGGAGTCGTGACACACCAACCGATGCTAATCTAGCTCAAAAATCCTTCATCTCACGACGCCACGTCATGGACTGACCACCCAAACCGCCTTTTCCATCCCGTCCCAGGGCTACCGGACAGACGCCTGTACGAAGCCTCTGGGATGACATTCGCAGCACATGTCCAAGCCACTGGGGCGGTGTTTCCAGATGACGACACTCAATGAATGGTGATCTCCACTGTGTTCAGACACACGCCGGCGAACCTCAGAATTACTCACGCGATGATGCCATCGAACGCAATAAATCCTGCGGAAACAGCGATGATCAAACACGCAGAGTCGCTGCACATCCTCAGCTCGGAAATGCCAGGTTTCACAGGCGTAGAGCAAGACAGCCCGCACCGAAGCATTGTATACCCGACCTTTGACAGCCAGGCTAAGTTACATAAGTTACTCTATCTGATGAAGAATCCAAATACATATTGACTTTGTTAAAAGTCCCTGATGTTTCGTAATAATAGACATGTGACAGAAAGCATTCACTCAAGTTATTCATACTTGAGTTTCAGGGGAAACTCAGTTGCTCACTGGGGACACAGGTACATTCAGTTGATGAGTGCAGAATAGCAAGAAATTCGATACCTTAAATTCACTAATAACCACTATCAACTAAGTAACATCAATGCTATCCCCAAGGCATATTTCAATTCAAACGTGCATATTCTGAAGGCCTATGCTAAAGTAGATTACATATTCTGTGCAAGAAAAAAAGCAATCAACGAGAAATTCAAAAGAATTATTTCATGACCAATTTCATTTCATTCCAGATGGAATTATCATGATTAACTGTTTAAACCAACTACCACGCCTGATTGTTAAATAGTTTGCCTACACGGTATCTGTCGCTGTGATTTGATTTTCGACACAAGAAACAAATCATATTTAGTTTCATTTTTTATCGACCGATTTATGTTTAGTAGTAGGATAACATATTTTTAAATAATTGTGATTGTGTATCCACATGATAATTGCTTACTGTCAATCAGAGGATAATACCTCCATTACTACTTGCTCTTCACCACTTTAACAGAAGCTGTTACCAAAGAATCACAGATGATAGGGCATAGTAATTTTATATTACAAACGTTAAGATGGATTAAAATTCTGATATGTGTAATTGGTTCATTTGTGCACATGTAAGTCGATAGCTGCAGCTAGATATACTTATGGAAATGTACAATTACACTGTCGCTCGATTGCGCAATGAACAGATTCACTGTATAATTATATATATATATATATATATATATATATATATATATATAGTCTGTTTCATTTCTGTGCTGATGGTATTCAGGACTGATGTCTTAACGTTATATAACCTGAGGGAACAGATCTTCCTGTATTTTTCTTGTAAAGAGCATTTCTTATGAAATGTTCAGCAATGAATTGATTCCCCATAAAATGTATATTCCTTTATGATGCGTTATTAGGATAGAGTTTAAGATCTTTAGTTTTGGTATGTATCTTGAGATTATTTTATATGTTTACGTATTTTTGTATAAAATCTGTTTAATTTGTTAGACGTTCCAAGAAATGCGACGTAATCCAACAGTTTACTCTTTTGAAGAACCCATAAACAATAAAAATTCATACGAATCTAACATAATCGACGACGGGCACATCTCTAAATTTTCTCATCATGATGCTTACTGCCCAAATCCTCATTTCTATTGTCGTTCTTACGAGTATGCTAATGCTAACGTGGCTATGCAAGATCCAGCTTCTGAGTCGAAATTGAATAATGCAGATACTTTTGACTGTTCAAAAGATGACACCAACCAGTCTCATCTACTCCCACAAGCCCAAATCTGTCCAGTGTATACTGGTGTTGTGTATAAGGGACCCGATAGTGTGTATACGGTTCCTTTGAAGAAGCGTAAGTATTCAGATTTAACAATATTTCCTTTGTAAAATGTTTAATTCATAAAGTCTCCAAGATTAATTCCTACATTTTTTGATCTACTTCTCGTTTAGTCTTCTGTGGTTACTCACTATCGAACTCAGTAATTTAACCACTCTAGATTACTGTAACTTTTGATAGCGGTGACTTTCTTCATATATGCTGTGCAAATGCGATTCCAACGGAATAATCAACACCACTCTAAATCCGTTTGCTTTTCCTCAAGCACTAAACTGTGATTTATTCTTAGCTTTGATACGTAAGTTTTTAAGGCACACCACTATTTATGATGCCTCACTGAGAAACTATTCGGAAAGTTGTTTTCACTCTCATCACCTTCTGTGGTGAATTCTGTATAGCTGTAAACACTCACATATTTTGTACACAAATATAATACCAAATGCAAACAAACAGGGGAATCAGTATATCGCCATATAATTACAAATGTATTAGAGCAGAGTTGCTTTTATTAATGCTCTAGGATACTTAGACTGGTATAAAAAGAAAACTCCATCTCCAAAAGTTATAATTCTGTCTAGACGTTTACAGTCACTATTTTCATTATTACTAATGAATAACTACCCACCAGAATTTATTAAAAAATACATATATAAAGAACCATAGGAAAAACCAAGACTAGCAATAAAAGTGACGAAAATAATATCGAATTCAAAACCTCTGTAGCACTCCCGTATAAAGAAGGGAAATCAGAGGCCTTACGTAGAATTCTCAATAACGCTGGGATTAGGGTGGCATTTAAACCAAACAACTCTGTCAGAGATAAACTTTGTTGGCTTAAGGACTCAAGAAATCCAATTAGGAAAAATAATACGATTTACCAAATACCATGTAATACTGACTGTGAGGGTAATTGCATAGGTCAAACTAGCAGATAAAAGTCAACTAGATAATTGGAACATAAAAATTTACCTAGAACTTAAATTATTGACCCTGCTAAGTCAAATTGTTTGGTAAAAACCAACGGTTGGAAACAATTGGTGACATGGCTCAAAGTGATCGTTCTCAATAGCGCAGATGCGTCCACTCCTTGTGACTTATGACTTCCAATGAAACCGTTTTGTTCTTCGTTATTACCATTCCTTTGTCTCATACCTCTGTTTACTATCCCTGTTGTGCATTTCTTCTACTTTCTTCTGTTGCTTTGTGTGCTACAAGGAGGGAGTGTGGCGACTTGAACTACCGCACATATGTGCAAAGTTCTATGTCGAAAATAGACAGACAGACAGCTACGTCAAATAACCTAGTAAAAAGCTCAGCCATTGCATTCACTTGCTCATAATCACCAAAATAGAGGGGGACATAGTGACAGTATTAAAAGTAATGTAATTAGGCGGAGAGAGAATGAGGTTAATCAGCGAATCTTTGTTGATTGATTCAACACCTCACACATGCAATCGGAATGGCTCAACGCCTATACCAGAGATATGGGAAGTGGCAACAAAGTGAAGCTGGAGAGACAGAAGGAAAGAAAATATGTGAAAACGTGTTACTGAATAATTGATATAGTTATGAACAATAATTTATGCACGAAACGGCGTGTAGTTGTTAATACTTCATCCCTGTGTGCTTATTAAAATAAACTTATCTAATATGGAATTACATTCTACCACAGTACCCAAGTTCTACACATACCATTACACTTTCATTATTTAGTTAGCTGTAGTGGGGGATGCGTACATTCCAACTGGTTCAATTGTAAAGTCAAACTTTCCGAATTTGACTTCCTCACTTAATTTCAGTGCCTTTATTTAAACTGGAGGTTTAGACTTAACCCCTAATAATTGTTTAACACCATATATATATATATATATGTATATATAGAATTATTTGTTTTTGTTCTGTCAAAATGGTTATTTTTCATTGATAGTTATTATGATCATATGGATGACCCCGACTAGTGTTTTTTATTCTAACGAACTAACCCAGATAGAGTGTGGTAAGCGAAACGAAAGGGGACGGGGTGGGGGCGAATGAAATAAAAATAGAGTATACCATAAGCAGTTAGTTATATTTGACCTCTTTCTTCTATTTATATAATGTCACTTCCGAATTTTCAGTCTTTCGTCGTATGATATCTTATGAATGAGAAAAAAAATTCACTCCTGTAAGCGTGAAATTAACAACTTCCTAATTCCATGAAGCAAAAAAATGTAGTTAGTTAGTTAGTTCATCAGTCATGTGAACCGGTTTTTGAAAAAAAAACTTTTGTATGCTATTGTTGTTTTTGCTTAATTCATGAATGATTTGTTTATTTTTTTTGTTTGTTTATTATTATTGTTTATTATGTTTATGTGTCTAATATGTTTTTGCATGAAAAGTGAGTGATTATATATATATATGCATTTCTTATCAGTTTATAATTCTCAGTTTCATACATCTTTCCTCGTTTTCTTCCTCTATATTTTCTTTCTTTCAGCTCGTCTATGTACTTCAGTGAAAAATACATCTAGTGAAAATGATGACAATTTCACTAGTGTAAACGATTGCAGTTATTTGAATGAACTTAACTGCAATTATTTGGTAAATAATAATAATAATCGTTGTAGTGGATCTAATAGTAGTCACTTGTTTACTGAACCATCAACACTTTATGATGACTATTCATCTGTTAACAATAGTACTACTAATAGTCATGATGATAAACATTTTTCAGATGGAGATTATCACTTTGACTGTTATGATCAATCTTATTGTTATAACTACTGTCAACAGAACCCACAACAACACCATCAACAATTCACATTAGGACAACAACAATATCCTACTTTTGGTGGTGGTTTTATGAACAGAACAGTGATATACTGACTGAATGATAGGTAAAGAAGTAATATCGTCAATTGTAGTGAGGAGTCATGTAGTCTGTTACCGTTGCACCCTGTCTATTCTCCCTCTCTCTCTCTCTCTGTCGCTCTGCACATTTATTTTCTTTTGATGATCACTTGTTCTCTACCGGTTTCTATTTTTGCAAATAAATAGAACACTGATTTCATGGAGTTTATCTTTCACTGACATTTCAGTTCCTATCTTCTATATGTGAGACAACGAAATAAATTAGTCATTTTTTCTCACTTATTTACTTATGTAGTAATCATAGTGTTTTTTTGTGTGTGTTTGTCTGTTTGTTGTTGTTGTTTTTTAATGTCTGATTAAATTGATAGATTGATTCATTGCCATACTTACTGTTCTTGAAACGAAGGCCATAAAGTAACAAAGAGAATAACAAAGATAACTTTATTTGGTTTAATTTTATTCGCTGTTATTTGTGTTTTCCCTCCCCTCTTTGTTTTTGTTTTGTTTACTTATTTAATTTTTTTTTGTACTGTGATTAAAATAATTTATTTTGTGATAGATAAAAATAAATAAACAAAATCATGTTTTCTGTAAAGAAGTACAGATTAGAAAAATGCATGAATGGAACTCAAAAGGCATGCCAACAAACTATTTCCCAATATATATATATATATACTCTCGCCTTGTTATTCTCATCGTCATTGTTCCCCACTTATCTACGTCATCTCTCCTAGCTTAGTTGTCTTTCATCCCTTTTTTTGTTGTACTCATTGTGTAGTCATTGTCAACCGCTTTTAACTGATGAAAATGCCTGCCTACTCTACATTTGATTTAGTCCACCTGTCCATCTGTAGTGTTTTTTTTTCATTTCTTTCTCCTGGTGCTAAAAGCATTTCCTCCGGTTGCATACTCTACTCTAAAATTTTAGGCATTATGTTATCCGTGTTACTTCTGTCTTGGTTTCTCTTGTCTACCAATTTCTTTTGAAACGCTTTTACTATCATTTTAGCTTTTTTTTTTAGTAGGCAACAAATCCTTTTTTTTGTTCAGTAGAAATGATTGCTATTTTGTATTCCTTAGAAAAGTTTAACTTGCCCACTAAGATTCTTGCAAATACTCCCTCTACTTTGTACTTTTTTTGCCCGAAAAACGAAGATATTTTGAGTCCCCTTTGATTTTAATCATTCACAGGAAGAATTTCCCAATTCGAACAATGGCTATGCTAAATTTGTCCTAGAGAGAGACTTATTGATGATTATAGTTGTTATTTTGCTTCTTTTTTGTCACTTAATTCTCCTGGTGCTTTTCATTCTGATGTGTGCATGTTGTATGTGTGTGTGTGTGTGTGTGTGCTGTTAATGTTTTACGTCTATTCCCCGAATTTTGTATTTGCTATTATTGTTATTGCTTCCTCTTCGCCCACATGTGCGTGCGTGATAAGTGATTGGATTCATCTAAAGATATCTTACTGCTGTGTATCTTTCTCTCACCATTTCTTGATAAATCAATTTATTAGATGATTTGTCTTATCTCTTGTCAATAATCTTAAACACTATGAAAATGAACAAATGAAAATAGGAAAGATGCTACACTGCGGCTTACATCGATGACGAAATTCAAATATGACCTTGTGCGACAGAAATACTTATCATATGATTAACAATAAAGATCTATTCATTGATCAGTAGCGTTAATGATTATATACTGATCATATCTGTTACTATGGTTATGAATGGTTAAATTGCGTTCGAAACGCCATCCAGTGAATAAAACCGTTTCACTATGTGATATATCGAATTAGTGAATTAAAACAGAACAGTCAAAGCTTATCGTAGGTGGCTTCTATAGTTTAGAACAACACATTTAAGCGAACAATATTGTTTTCAATTAGATTTCATCAGGCCTAACTCTAATATATATAAGTCTAAAGGATAATACGATGGTGAATTTAAATTGTGCAATTAGCCATAATAGTAGTGATGATAATATTTATAATAGTAATAATAATCATAATGGTCTTATCAATAATAAGGATGAAAAAATGAGGCAATCTGTGATAACATGAACAATGAAAAACAGCATGATTAAACAAACAAATGTTCAGGTAGAAGTAGTTGATAATGGCTAAGAAAATCAAACGAAGTAATTAAGTAATGCTGGATTGTAAGGGAAGTAAATGAAGCACGTTTTTAATGGAGATGTGATAAGACTAAGGGATGATAAGAGAGGGGTTGAAAATATAAGTAAGCGGTGGTGTAGAAGTCTTTAGTTTGTTATGTCTTAATAAGCCAAGGGAGGGATAATGACTGTACGAACTTCTTTTGAATACATAGTTTAGGTTTAATAGTTCTAATGCCTATCGCCTCAGCTGTGTGCAGTAGACGAATACGAAGTCTATTAGAAAGATTCGGTGGGATACGATGAATTATTGATATAAGAATAAAACTTGTGCACTGTGGTAGAGTGTAATTCCACTATGGGTAAATTTTGTTTTGATAAAGTCTCAGTGTTATACATTAGCCTTTACTGATGACGTTTCGAGCACAATTTATTGCTCATAATCATATCAAGGTACTCACACTAGGAAGTTATGGCATAGTGGAGTCAGTTAACAAGAGGCTTTCTATTTCAAAAAAAGTAGATTGCTCGAATATTCACCTTCCAGTCCAATCCAAGATACAGACACATACGCTTGACTTTAGTCACAATTCTTAAACCAGTTGAGGCATTTTTCTTAGAACACAATTACTTCGTTTATATATGGTTGTTAACTAAGAATGCTTTCATAACAAACTCATCCCTCGCTCGCTGACAATTAGTAGTAATAATTGCTTTTTTTTCCAAACAGTATTTTGGTACAAATATGGAAATTTCAACATCTGAATTGAAAACAACCAGTTTTTTCCTCCAAGAGTGCCGAACTGTGACCACTTCTATACATAGGTACCAGTATGGTCTTACTCCAGTTTCAGAACGGAACAATAGGCTCTGTTTAACTGCTTTTTTTAAATTCACTTGTTACACTAAAATCCTATAATTAATTTAATCCATACAAGTAATACGTTTCCATTAAGAGACACTGCCAAAAGCATTGGGTTAGTTAAGCGATTTGTCCAATTCAAATGGGAAATATGATGCCTCATAAATGGTCCCCAGTTTCAAGATAGAAATAGAATTTGCTGATAGTTTTACATGTTTAGAAAGTTACAACAGTCGCCAACAACCAATTATTCGTGTAATATTAACGTAGATATAGCGAACTCATCTGAGATTGATCAGCTTGTATAATCTGTAGCACCCACAGGATAAGTCACACCGCCTTTTAGCAGGGCGTGTGTTGTGCACTAGTTGTGCGTATTAAAATTAAAACCACAGCGATAGTTCCTTGAGTGTTTATGCTTACGTAACATCGTCTATGTTTGATGGGGCCACAAAGTGTTAGGTTAGAAAAGTAAGTCAGTTAGTGAGGTTGTAGAAAAACTTCAGTGTTGCGAATTTTAAAAGAAAGCAATAAGTGCTGGGATTTATCTGCTAAGAAATAAAATGACCTTTTATCCTGTAAACGTATACGTTCGTAAGTTTGCAATCTCATGTCAACTGATATTACGTAACATTTGCAAGCTGTGCACAGGTGATGAGAAGCCGATGAAATAAATGATCGTACCGTCATATTCTGCATAAATTGTCTTTCGTGCTTTGTTATCACTCTTTCAATATGTTATATGTCTCATAAGGAAACTAATGTGCACGAATCTTTAAACGAAGTTTCTGCTCAGAAAGCTTCATTAAGAAAAAGCTCATGCAAATTTTCAATAAATGAGACGTGAAATGCTAGCACATCTGTAAATCGAAAATGTTTTAGAAGTAGTAATTTGATAAGTACAAGCGCTTCAAATCATATAAGACATCTTGTACCAACAGAAAGATGATATCGCTAAAATTCGGAAATTCCGAAAGCAAACGGCGCTGACAAACAACAAAATATCCTTTTTTCAGAATGAAACAAATCTTTCGAGACAATCAACTAGAGCGTGTGTCGTGTAAATGAGGTTGTCCAATGCGATTCGTGTGGTATCTCGTTTGATAACAAAACAACTGGCGTCTCCTAAAACAGACTTCAAAGGATAACCCATTCAGCTTATAAACAAAGTAAAAGGCTGATGAATATTCAACTCAGTAATACTCGCAAGCCAGTTTAAAAACAATAATATGGTCAGTGGCAATAGAATCTTGACTGTCCGTAATTCACCAGGGAAGCGATGTAGAATTAACCAAACACAATTCTGCTACCCTGTTATGAGAAAATACTCTCAAAAAATATGCCCACTGAAAACACATCCTAGACAGACGTTGTAACACCTGCTTTAAGATATCCAAACTTTGATGGGGAATATCAATAAACACCCTAGGCATTCTAGATAGCTAACAAGTAAACGATAACTAGTGGCAGTCATGAATATTAAATACGCAAATTGTGACATGTACTGAAAAATTACGGTGATACATATTAACGAATTATGAATTATTATTGTTAGTTTTAATATCAAATTGGAACTTATAAGATGGTCAAAAGTTGGTGAACTTTTCTGGTGTCAAAATGTTATTTCTATTTCGAACATAAGTTATTTATTCCATGAAAATCATGATTTTCTGCTTTTTTTAATTATGCTGTTCTCTAATTTAGTATTTGTAGTATTTAATCTTCAGAAGTGCTTAATTTCATTTCGCTATCTCGAGTATGTACGTCAATTGAATAATTTTCTTTCATGCTAATGATTAATGGCTTTATTTTATCATCACGTGTATCATATATTTCATTTCTGTCTGACTTTGTTATTTTTAACAAACCATTACCTGATATATATATATATATATATATATATATATACTGAGTGTTGTGTAGTATCAGATAGCTAACAGCTAACAAAATCCTTTCACCCCATTTATTGTTTTCATTGACGCTTATCATCATAAGAATGTATTTAGAAATATGGAGAATTTATACCGCTGAACCCATATCAAAAAATTTCATATCTAAAGTTGTTACGACTATGGTATTTGTCTTCTCTACCTATCTCAGTCAATAATGAATACAGTACACTTTGAAATCTTTACAAATTAATTATCACAGCATACTTCATCGATATAATCAGGTCATAAGAGATTAATGGGTAATAACACATCTGTAACTGTGATACAGTCTTGACTCTTAATACTCCATCATCTACGATAATTCAGGACAAAATGGACAATTTTTCTACTACACTGGTTTCTTCTCTTCTACCCATATTCACACATTTAGGCGAAATTTTTACGCAGAAGACGAATGTTAAATACAGAAATGCAGAAATTTTAATGTAAGATTTGATATCATACAAATGTTCAGCAAGTTCATAATACCACCTTGAAGATTTACAAAAGTAATTAATTCTTTAGCCTAGCGATATATTTAACAATCAACTTGTGTAGATGAACATTTATATAACATATGCTGTCTCCTATTTTCATCACCATTATATATATATATATATATATATATATATATATATATATATATATATATATGCGTTTAGGATGTCGTTTGAAAAGGCAGTAAAAGATTTTCAATTAAATCTATCATCTCAGAAGACAAAATCACATCAACATCATCCACCTGAGCTGCTAATCTCCTCCATTATTTCAAAGATTTTTATTACGTTCATAGTTATAGATATCCGTCAGTATAGGTGTGGAACAACTAACATTCCTTTATATTTAATTAGCCCTGCATTGTATTATAGTGATGGTTCTTCCTCATGATTTTGGAACTCTTCAAAACTTATTTGGTTACTTTACTTACTGGTGTCATAGATCTACTTAGGACTTGCATAGTCTGCTAACTATTGTTTGAAAATCGATTACCTCGAAAAATGAAGTCATACAGGAATTCAGCATGTTTTCTTAAGCAATTGCGAAGCCCAAGAGAATGCCTGATAACTGGTTCCCATAAATGTCTTATATCAGATTCTTGTGAGCCACAGTCTACAACAATGTTGCGCCACACAGGCTATTGATCACATAATATACTCGCTTTATAGGTTTTTCTCAACTTACTTTGGACTAGGCAACTGGACTGGTTGCATTTTTGTGACTAACTGGGATGTTTAGTAAATCGCTGGGATTTTTCATACCTTAATAAACATAATTTCTATCCTCAGGTGTTGAAAGTACATTACAGTTTTATGTGGATCCTTTTATTACTTCTGCAATTCCTGTTGTTCATTTCTCAATTGTGAGGAAATTCATCTGCGATTCTTTATAGTTTTATGTAAACATGGAATTTACGGTTCAGTTACATTTGACTGCTAATATGAGAGTAGAACTTGAAGACGGTGGTTAACTTTGATCCCATGTTAGTTTATTTATTTGATGTAGCACATTGATTCAGGATTACTTGATGGCTGACATCATGAACACAAAGACTGACTACTTTTCTATTTTCAGATGTTACTACGGTATCCTGTTCTTTCGAAGTGGACGTTGTACTGCAAAACGCACTTACTGTAAAAAAAACACAATTAAACGTGTACTGCATTTTTACTACTGACTGAGAATTAGTAGTTCGTAAATCTCTGAAAAAGTAGTCTGCATTTGTATAGTAGTTCGTCTGTAGCACGGCGGCAGAGTGCTCTCCGAGCATGCAT